TATGTTTATCATGCAATCAAATCAACGCTTGTACGGAGTAGTTGTTCTGTCAGTATTGTCAGTACATGTACTGTACTAAGCGTACTGTGGCGTTTAGTATGGCTCTCCATACTGTACTAAACATACTGTGGCGTTTAGTACAACTCTTCATACTGTACTCAACATACTGTGGCGTTTAGTACAGCTCTTCATACTGTACAAAACATACTGTGGCGTTTAGTACAGCTCTTCATACTCTACTAAGAATACTGTGGCGTTCAGTACAGCTCTTCGTACTCTAAAACTTTTGTAAGTACGCTCTTCAATACTCTACTAAACATCTTTTTAAGTATAGTACGGCTTTTCATACTCTACTCATACTCACTTTATAGTATGGCTCTTCATACTCTACTCAACATACTCTTGCGGTTTAGTACGGCTTTTCATACTCTACTAAACATACTCTTTGAGTTTAGTACCTAACCTCTGTACTCTACTCAGGTGAGTAGAGTATTCACCTCTCTCATACTCTACTCTACTCAACCGTTAGTACAGATTCTCGATACTCTACTAAACATACTCTACTAAACCTACCCGTGGTAGGTTTCTTATCGACTGACGACGACTTCTTTTTTTTTTCATGACGGTTTTTGACGCCCGCCGCCTTTCATTACCGGGTTTTCCGCCGCAGGGGCCGAGAGCGCGACGGCTTCCACCAAGGGTTTGAAGTTCTACCGGTGAGTTTGTGTTATTGTCGTCGGCTGTTGTTTGCCATGTTATTGTGATATATATATATATTTTTTTTTTGGTAAACAACGTTTCCAATTCCCGCCTTTCTGTGTCGCGTTCATCACCCCCTCCCTACCCTGGGTACATTTGCTCCGATCTTGCTCGCTGGAAAATGAAAATTGTTGAAGTTTGTTGTCACGGCGTACTGTTTGTCTTGGCTATCCCCCCCTCCCCCCCTGACGATATCTCGCTCCCACCCGCCGTCCCCCCCTCCCCTCACCACCCAGTTGAGCTCTGAGGGTATGCTGGGCAACGTGCTGTGGGCCCTCCTGCGGCTTTGCGAACCGTTCCTCACGGCAGGCGACCCGAAGGCGGAGGCCCTGGCGGATAAGACGGACCTCGACTACTTCAGGGGGAGCGATAGGTGAGACGATTGCAGAGCGAAGAGAGGGAGGGGGCTGGGGGTACC